ATAGGCAGGCCCCCTCGTTGTTCACTTTTAAAACTTATTTGAAGACTCATCTGTACCGTTTGGCGTTCAAACCAGTATTAGCCTTCGTCTTGTTGAGCCTTTGTTTCATGACGGGTGGTTGTTTTAAGTGTGCTTGCTTTATTTTGTTTTAATGGGTTTTTGTGGATATTGTTTTAAGCACTTTGGTCAGCTCTGGCTGTGTTAAATGTGCTATATAAATAAAGTTGTTGATGATGATGATTTCTGATAGCACAATTAAACTGCAGTCATTGTACCAACCCAAAAAACTAAGATATAATTCCAAATACTAACCTAAAATGTTTTTTTGTTTTTTTAAATTTTTGCTCTTTAACATTAAATATAACATGTTTGCAGTTTATGTACAATTACAACAGTATCCAGTTTTTTCCTATAGGAACAACAACTTAGATATAATCAAAAAACTACAAAAAGAACCATCTCTCATATGTCAAAAAGTAAAGTAGATGTATAAAAAATAGGACCATATACTAAATTAGCTGTCCCGGGTAGGCTAGAGGTTAAGGCGCAGCGCTTTCGCCGTGGTGTCCTAGGTTCGAATCAGGGTTGCGTCAGGAAGGGCATCCGGCATAAAACACGTGCCAAATGTCAACATGCAAATCATCAGTGTGACGATTCTCTGTGGCGACCCCTCAACGGGAAAAGCCGAAAGTGACTTTCTTTCTAGGACCATATACTAAATTCCTGCATACAAAAGATATAAAACATTATAGATTATAAGACTATAAAACATTTAACTGTGGAATGGAGGAAGGACTAGGAAGTTTGCATAAGTAACAAAAGACGAGAGCAGCACCAACAGAATCTTCATTAAAAAAGACCCAAGGAAAAATGTCACTGAACCAACAACACTTTGATGGACAAGGGATCAAATGAAAATAATTTAAAGGGCGTTCATATAAAATTGCAATATATGCAAAATAAATGCTTCATATAATTACAGGGACATCCCAAATTTAAATATTTTTGAAAAGCTTTCTTGGGTAGAACAGAGAAGGAAACCCTAGTAACCACTGCTAATAGTTATGAAGGAACACATTCAGAGTCTGCTTGTGAGAGGACTGTACCAGATTTTTAAAAGATGATTAAAGGCAGTTCTGGTGGTGTCAGACTGAAGATTTTTAGCTTGAGGTTTCACATTTAGTGCTAGGAACTTTATGACGCTGCTTCTCCTTCTTATGACCCAACAGTAAATAGATAACTTTATAAATAGAGAGAGACAGACAATCCTACCTTAGCCACAACAGCACTCGCCAAGACAGCCAACCCCACAATAACAGCCACCAGGTACTGAGCTATTTGGAAACATCTTCTCTTGCTCTCCTTCTCAGCTCCTACTGGGTTCAGCTGGAATGGATCCCATGTGTCCCTGAGACACACACATATGTATTGATTGACTTCAGTTATTATCAAAGTTATATTAGGAAAATTATATTCACAGTTTACTTCATCAAGATGGCAGTTTGATGCTAGAATTCCAGTGAATTACAGACTTCTTCTGGACTTGGAAACAGTTTTTGATTAAATGATTTACTGTGCATCTGTGTAAAAAAAATGTGCTGTGTAGTTTTCTGAAAGTACCAGTTTATTGTCTTAAAACTAGAGGTCAGAATGTCCTAATGTGTTATTTATTAGATTACAGGCTGGAAAGAAACTGGAGAGATGTGGCCGTGAATAAAGGGATGATGTATGGGTGAAGTCATAAACCAGAGACCACATCAGTCTGTCACAAGGAAACTAGTAAGACAAAATTAAGATGTTTATCATGGTATAATAATGATAATTCAAAGGACTGGCTGATGCAGATTATGATCGGGGTGTGGGGATGGACGTTGGTTATATAGCCATAGGACAGAAAAAAATGATCCTTTATTAGTCTATCAATAAAAAATAACTGGACCCACAGAGGCCTAGTACATTTCCTCAGAGGGGCCAGGGTACAGATTAATCTTACCCTTCCTAGCTGTCAGTGTACTGTATACAGTATTCCCAGATCTTGTTTTATTTTTGTTAGTTTCTATACTTTGTTAGTAGTCATTTCACACTGCTGTCAGATGAAAGCTACTGGCATGAAGGGAAGGATTTCTACCTGTGTTTTTTGGCACTGTAAACCAAACTAATGACATCCAAGCCTCTCTGCCATCCCCAGCTGCTGGCTGATTAATGTCAAGTGCAGATGAATCACCAGGGTGTGGGCTGTCTGCTTGACACACTGATGACACATGGTGACCATTGACTGTACCATAACAAATATGATCACAGATGTAAAATGAGATTTTAAAAAATATATTCAAAATTTTAAAATCCCAATTAGATTTTTTAAAGGAGACGCGAGTGCAGTTTTGAGAAGAGTGACACACTCTTTTCTTTGATGATGAATTAAAGCTACTATACCTAATTAATTTCTTTACACCACAGGGGTTTTAGTGAAACTTGAAACAAACTTACACCATAAGATGCTGCTAACTCTGTTTGCCTCTTCCATCAAGCCTTGTTTTCTCGTGATGACGTAAATGCCTGATTGCAACAAACTGTACAAAATTAAGCCTTCAGTCTGAAGCTAGCATTAAAAAATCAGTACAGTAGAATGCTCTGGTTACTACTGATATCATACAAAGCTCAAATTGCTCCCAAATTAAAATCACATTATTTCAATAGCTGAGAGACACCACGTCCTTCCTGTCCCATTTTCACTGGATTTTTCAGACAGTGAAAATTCTCATTTAATACACCTTTAACCATGAAAGGCTTCTGATTTTAGAAGAAATAAGTTGTTTAAGACCTTTTAGTTGATTGGAAGTCAGAAAAAAACTTTTGAAATTCTGGGGAGGTAACCTGTAGTAATTTTAATATAACCTACCAATTATATACTCATACAATTCTGTAAGAACATACAGCGTACAAATGTATATTTTTCTATGGAGAATTAAAGAAAACTGTAGCACAGAGTGGTGACACTGTTACTTAATCTGCTCAATGAAAACAAAGATTTTTTTTGAGGATCTGACAGTTTAAACTCATAATTTGAAGAAATGTTAGTTGTTTTACAGTAAGAGCAAAGCAATGTCATGTATTTTTAAAAGATCTGAACCCAGAAACAGCCAGGTTTTATTGACCTCAGTGGTGCCAATATTCAGAATGTGATTAAAACTGAGCACATATTTAACCTTTTAAGTGGTACAGCATTCCCATAGTAATGGTCAATATCTGCTGGGATGACATTATTAGCCACAATAAAGATAAACTCAGCTGTGCACAGAGTAAATTAATAGTTTCCTCAAACTGCAAACTATACCAAATGGAAACCTGTTAATACAGCACTTAATTATATATCACTGGATGAACAACTGAGTAATAATATTCATCCTGATGACAATCTCCTAGCAGTGATGTAGTGGTTAATAAACTTTGATTGCCTGCATGAACAGGAAGGAATAGCTGCCTAGTTTAATGCTGCATAGTGTGGCGAATGTATTATTTTGTAAATCTGCCTAACTAGTACAGCCAATCAAATACGACTTTAAAACTTAATGGCATAGTAAATTTTAGCTCAGTGGCTTTGTTAGTCAAAGAATAATCTGTGCTGTCCTTTAAAAATAAAGTAAATTAACGGTGTTATTCTTTCATTTCTTGTAAGTTGTTAACACAAACTCTAAACTGACCTTTCACCTCTTTTCTGCAGCTTCTGCAAACAATGACAGTAAAACTATTTCTTTATTGAACCACGAGGACAGACTGCTGGTCATTTCTGACTGAGAGCACAATGACCTTATTTGTCAACATGATAACCAGGTAATGTACAGTGCCTTGCGAAAGTATTCGGCCCCCTTGAACTTTGCGACCTTTTGCCACATTTCAGGCTTCAAACATAAAGATATAAAACTGTAATTTTTTGTGAAGAATCAACAACAAGTGGGACACAATCATGAAGTGGAACGAAATTTATTGGATATTTCAAACGTTTTTAACAAATAAAAAACTGAAAAATTGGGCGTGCAAAATTATTCAGCCCCCTTAAGTTAATACTTTGTAGCGGCCAACACAAACTAGACTTTTTCAGTAATTTGTTGCTTTGCTTTCCTTCATCAAAAGGACCTAAACAATTGTTAACCTCAGCTCGAAAATGATTTTCAGAACTCAAAGATCTCCGGTACAGCCTAACACTAAACAATTCCTCATGATCTGCCTCTGCAGGGGTACTAATGCCATCGGAGCCACACTGTATAAAACAAATACATGAAACGATCGATTTAATTCATGTAGACTGATGAATGCACTTTTGACTGTTTTGGCATTTTGTGATGTGACTTTGTGGTGTTGGGTGCCTTTAATCCTTGTGTATTTCATCTCACTCCAACAGTGTGTGAATACATTTTATATACTTCTGTTTGCAGGAGTGTGTGTGTGTGACAGACAAATAACATATGTACAATAGGTCAGAACAAAACTATCTGCCCAGTTAATGTAATTGTAATATGATCGTTAAATTGGCTCATGGATAGATGTTAAAACGAACCACCCTGTTGTTTATCTGTATTCAATGGCCCGTGAGTCAAAATTCACACCTAAAGTCATTCAAATGAATCATCATTAGCGTGGAAGGAAAATACTTAAACAAGTCTCACTCATCCACTAACATGAATTAGCGAATTGCGTGTTTGCTTAACTGCAACTAACAAAACGAGGATGTAGGTAAATATTGAAATTCCCTTCGATTGGTGGCCAGTCTGTAAAGCACCGGGTGAGCAGGCGCTCCCTATTGATGAGCTTCAGCTAATCCATCGCATTTCCCTGTAAATAGCTTTCTGCATGAGAAAGAGACCCCCCCCCCCCCCCCATCTGTGGAAAGAACTGAAAACTGCTGTTCACAAACGCTCTCTATCCAACCTCACTGAGCTCGAGCTGTTTTGCAAGGAGGAATGGGCAAAAATTTCCGTCTCTCGATGTGCAAAACTGATAGAGACATACCCCAAGTGACTTACAGCTGTAATCGCAGCAAAAGGTGGCGCTACAAAGTATTAACTTAAGGGGGCTGAATAATTTTGCACGCCCAATTTTTCAGTTTTTTATTTGTTAAAAAAGTTTGACATATCCAATAAATTTCGTTCCACTTCATGATTGTGTCCCACTTGTTGTTGATTCTTCACAAAAAATTACAGTTTTATATCTTTATGTTTGAAGCCTGAAATGTGGCAAAAGGTCGCAAAGTTCAAGGGGGCCGAATACTTTCGCAAGGCACTGTACAAGCAGAAATAAACAGCATCCAAGATTATTTGAATTTGTGTAGAATATTCACAGTAATAACGTTTTCACTGAGATATTCAGTCATTCAGTGAGTTACATCCTCAGTTTTTCATCATTTTTAAGCAAATTTTTTGGGGGTTTTGAGTTGTATGTTTTTTTTCCTTTTAAAATAATAAGATTTAATATTGAGACCTGTTATGTTGCTTGACTTGACAGTAGACTAAAACTGACAACCTGAAGTTAGGGACCATCATACAAGTACAGCAAAATGACCCAGATGTTGTTCCTGTGCTGTGCATATTAGCTTGATCTGAAATTGGTCACTTCAGATTTTTGTCATTTTAGCGATACTTTAGCCCACTGTGATTCAATTACATTTTTAAATAAAGAATTATGCTTTGGACTGTCAGTAGCATTCTAGTTTTTTTTTTTATAATAAACACTCATAGACCACCTTTATATTCTTCCTGCTCATCACATTATACAGTATAAACAACCTCTAGTTTTTAAAGAAAAACTCCTGCAATATGTCCCAGTGCAGTTGTAGGGTTCAAATACAAATAATGTTTTATTATATAAATAATTTAGTTACATGTTTAAAATGTTCTCTCAATTTTTTATGTTGTGGGCAGCTGAACTTATTTATGATGAGTATAAATGTCACTAAGCAGCAATTTAACACAAAAAAACGAAGGAATGATGTGGGTCCACTTACCTTAGGGATGGATCCAAATAGATATAAAAAGCTTTTGTGACAACCTGATAAAGTTTCTGAAAAGTTTCTGTGTGTTACACCACTCCTACAAATGTCAAAACCTTTATGAATGTTTCTACTGCTAGTTTCTACAGTAGCTAGACAGAGTTTGTTCCCCCTCTAGTACAGAGTGACTTCAAAAAGTTTCCCGACCTCTTGACTTTTGGCACACTTTCTTGTGATGTGAATTTAAATGTGAATAATATTTCCATTTAACCTATCAGTCTACACTGAATAATCTAAAAGCACAAAATGAAAAACATGCTTGAAAAACCTTTGCAAAATTTTTAAAAATTAAAAACTTAAATCTCTCATTTACAAAAGTATATTTAGAGCCCTTACCACAGTGTGGTGAAGCTTAGGTGCATCTTGTTGGCATTAATTATTCTTAAGCAGCTCTTCATCAACCAGGCCTTTATGTAGAGTGGGTAAAGGTTTGGACATGGACAAAATCCAAGCTTAAAACTTGTATCCATAAATCCAGGAATAAATATATCTTTTTTTCTCTTTGGTCCAGCTGTTTTTATCTTGTTATTCTATGTATATGTATTTTTATACTGTATGTATTGTATGTAAAGTGACAATGCATTATAATACATTTTAAATAAAATGATTTATTGATTGACATTGAGACTGGTCAGAATTTAAGGAATGATAAATGCCAAAGGGAATTAAGAGTTTTAATACTTTTATATACAGTGGGTACGGAAAGTATTCAGACCCCCTTAAATTTTTCACTCTTTGTTATATTGCAGCCATATGCTAAAATCATTTAAGTTCATTTTTTTCCTCATTAATGTACACACAGCACCCCATATTGACAGAAAACACAGAATTTTTGACATTTTTGCAGATTTATTAAAAAAGAAAAACTAAAATATCACATGGTCCTAAAGTATTCAGACCCTTTGCTGTGACACTCATATATTTAACTTAGGTGCTGTCCATTTCTTCTGATCATCCCTGAGATGGTTCTACACCTTCATTTGAGTCCAACTGTGTTTGATTATACTGATTGGATGTGATTAGGAAAGCCACACACCTGTCTACATAAGACCCTACAGCTCACAGTGCATGTCAGAGCAAATGAGAATCATGAGGTCAAAGGAACTGCCTGAAGAGCTCAGAGACAGAATTGTGGCAAGGCACAGATCTGGCCAAGGTTACAAAAAAAATTTCTGCTGCACTTAAGGTTCCAAAGAGCACAGTGGCCTCCATAATCCTTAAATGGAAGACGTTTGGGACGACCAGAACCCTTCCTAGAGCTGGCCGTCCGGCCAAACTGAGCTATCGGGGGAGAAGAGCCTTGGTGAGAGAGGTACAGAAGAACCCAAAGATGACTGTGGCTGAGCTCCAGAGATGCAGTCGGGAGATGGGAGAAAGTTGTAAAAAGTCAACCATCACTGCAGCCCTCCACCAGTCGGGGCTTTAGGGCAGAGTGCCCCGACGGAAGCCTCTCCTCAGTGCAAGACACATGAAAGCCTGCATGGAGTTTGCTAAAAAACACCTGAAGGACTCCAAGATGGTGAGAAATAAGATTCTCTGGTCTGATGAGACCAAGATAGAACTTTTTGGCCTTAATTCTAAGCGGTAGGTGTGGAGAAAACCAGGCACTGCTCATCACCTGTCCAATACAGTCCCAACAGTGAAGCATGGTGGTGGCAGCATCATGCTATGGGGGTGTTTTTCAGCTGCAGGGACAGGACGACTGGTTGCAATCGAGGGAAGGATGAATGCGGCCAAGTACAGGGATATCCTGGACGAAAACCTTCTCCAGAGTGCTCAGGACCTCAGACTGGGCCGAAGGTTCACCTTCAAACAAGACAATGACCCTAAGCACACAGCTAAAATAACGAAGGAGTGGCTTCACAACAACTCCGTGACTGTTCTTAAATGGCCCAGCCATTAGCTCAAAAGGGTGCTTCTACTAAATACTGAGCAAAGGGTCTGAATACTTATGACCATGTGATATTTCAGTTTTTCTTTTTTAATAAATCTGCAAAAATGTCAAAAATTCTGTGTTTTTCTGTCAATATGGGGTGCTGTGTGTACATTAATGAGGAAAAAATGAACTTAAATGATTTTAGCATATGGCTGCAATATAACAAAGAGTGAAAAATTTAAGGGGGTCTGAATACTTTCCGTACCCACTGTACGTAGGAGAGATTTCTGTTTTTGATTTCTGAAAACTTTGCAAAAATGTCTAAAAATGTGTTTTCTGACCGTCATTGTATGCTATCAACTATAGACTGTTGTGCAAAATTGTCAATTTTATGCATTCAAATTGAACGTACAACACCAAAAAGTGAACGGCCACTGTAAATTGTTCAAGGAGGCTAATTAAGAGAAACATGAAGTAGCTGGGCTCAGCGGGTTACCGTCTACATAAATGTGATGCGTGTGGTTAAACTCCTGTTACAAAACATCCTCTGACTTTCATCTGTAATATCAGTCCCTGCCTAAATAAAGCAGAAGTGAAATGTGATGACCTTCAAGAGGAAACGCATTTTGTGAATGATTATTTTTTTACCTGTGTCTTCCATCTCTTTTCTTTACTCTGTATTTCAATTCCTCCATTGTGCTCGTCTACTCCAATGCTTTTAGGCTTATGGTGGCCTATGTGGAGTCTGTGAGTCAAAGAGGAAGGAATTTCAAAGAAGGATCTAAAGTTAGTAAACTTTCTGTTCAGTTACATACAGTGTAATGTGTATTTTAAACTAAAATATGAATGAAGTGAATTTTTAAATTGTGGTCACCATTGACCTAATTGTCATTTAAATTTAATAAAATCGTACCTTGATATCTTCAGTTTTTTTGTTGATTAGATGTTTTTCTTCAAGCCTTCAACAATCCACCTGAAGCAGCACTATATCAGAACCTTTACTTTCAGTTCATCTCCAACTTGGAGACATTTCCTTCACACAAAAATATCAGCACACTTTCATCTGCATCAAAGCGGTTTCCGTCATCCAGAGTGGAATGAAATGATGTGAAGCCCCAAATCCCGAGCGCAGCTCTATTTACCTTAAATTGGTTTTCATTTTGAAATTGTGAGTTTTAGACTGGAAACCAACTGTGCGGAGTCTCCGTCAGTCGTTATGTCCTTTGTTCTTTGTCCATCAGTTTGTCTGTTATCAACTGCTTATGAAAGAAACACCCATATAGACAGTCAGGTTCAGCCTCCTCAGGTGTGTGTGTGTGTGTGTGTGTGTGTGTTCTGATGATAGTTTATCTAAGATATGCACACCAGGAAGTGTGCATGTGCATTTGTGAAGTACTGACAGGTAACCATGAGCATAACATACTGTAACCACCCAACAAGATTAAGATATGTGATTTGGGATTTGTTTGTGTGTGTGTGCACATCTAATCAAAGTTTGCCACAGACTCAAAATGTTCGTGAGCTATCAAGGTTTATTGGGGGCAATAAAAAGGTACAAGGATCATTTACTGTACATTGAATTACATAAACCAGGACTGCGCCCTGTTTTTACTGCATATGCTTTGTTACATGCACACACGCAGCATTTTTGTCACTTTTTGTAAACCTAGTCAGGTTTTTATGCGTTCTAACACATAACGTGTTATTTAAGCTGTATTTTATCAGCATTACAAGTTGTTCCAACAGAAAAACAACACAAAGCTTTAATCAGCTGGTGCTGAGTTTGTCAGTCATTTACAGATTCAGTGTGTGACTGTTACCACTGGGTGTCATTACTGGACTTTGAATTTAGCCTGTGTCCACACTTGAATGATTTTTCGTAGTTTACAGTTGTGTGTGTGTGCAAAGAGATGGAATATGCACAAGACAGTTTGCCTTTTGAGCTTCATCCTCATCTTAAAGTGTTGTGTGTACATTTGAACAAGTAAATGGTCTTATACTTGTATAGTGCCTTTCTATGTTTTTTACAGAACACTCAAAGCGCTTTCACACATTATTCGGCCATTCACTCATTCACACTCCCAAGCACTCACACACCGGTGACATCACCGGGAGCAACTGGGGGTTTAGTGTCTTGCTCAAGGACACCTCGACATGTTGACTGGACAAGCCGGGAATCAAACCGCTAATCCTCCGGTTAGGAAACGACCCGCTCTACCTCCTGAGCCACAGCCACCCCCATTCTGTGTATGTTGGCATTTGTGAAGCCATGTGCCTACGTTTGTGTGTGTGTGTATGTGCATTTGTGTTGTGTGGGCTCAAAAGAATGTCTCTGTCAGTGTGTGGATTCTCATTAAGATGCTCTGCCAGTGCATAATAAGCTGGCCATATGGTCAGCATGGTGGTGGTATCTCCCTCACATTCAGGTGGTTCAGTTTGACAACAGTCCCACAACCACACATGACAACCAGAGAGCAAGCCAGGAGAGAGAGAGAGAGAGCAGATTTTATGGGTTTAATTTGGAGAAGCATGCTAATTTTCATGCTGAAAGAGTCTAAAAAGATCTGTAATTGTTCATAACAGGAGGTGGTCATGCCTAATAGACCATAAGAAGTTGTGTTAGATAAGAGTTTGGTGTCTGTTTTTGTCAGTAGCTGAGAGCTCAGCCCGACAGTCCTGCTCTGTGATCTGTGAAATGTTGTTCACATCACAATGGTAATGTCACCAAGTGCACTGTTATTGCTATTCACAGCTGATGCCTCTGAGAGCTACAGAAAGGGCAGTAGTAAGGTACCTGTCCCTGGGACACATTTAAATGCTCCCTGCCGAACTATAATTAGTAGTAGCCATCCGTGCTGTGTGTTCAGAATGACTACCTGCTATAGGTACCCATGGAGAGACTCTGTGGTCTCTCAGTTATTAATCGGCTGTTCAGAGGCTGTAAAATGACAAGGGAGGAGTAGGCTCACGAGTAAAATGTTAAAGGTGCATTTAATAAGATTTTGCACTTTGTCTGATAAACCCAATGAAAATGGCACAGGACATTGGTTTCACTCAGCTGTACTAGCTCCCTCTATGACACTGCTGCCTACAGCCCTTCTGTTGTTATTATAGCTTCTCCATCCTTTGTTTTGATAGTTGGTCTGGACTTTAGCTCTGACCACCACCTAGTGAAGGTTCTAAGAAACTTTTTTTTTAACACCAGCTGTCATTTTCAGTAGCCAGCTGTGGAGGAGCTCTGATCTGCTGTAAGTCTAGGTGTCAAACAGCAAATGAAGTATTTTCAGTAGGTGAGAACATCTGACACGGACATTGTCCTGTTGCATGCTACATGTGTGTAAGGGCCTCTATGAACATCATCTGGAAGACTTTAATGGGGTATGAATGTTGCTCAATTTGTTTGGTACATTTCTCATGGATGTACATGCAACAACTTGTGGCTGAGAGATCTTCTTCTGGGCCAGACTAGATAAGATCCTTTTTGTTCCATGGTCCTTTCCTCGTAGTCAGCCACTTCTCTGAAACAGGTCCAGTCTGACATTACATTTAACAGGTTTATTGAAATTTCAGAAAGTTAAAATGAGCTGAGCTGGTCCATGGAACACACTGAGTGGGTCTCAGTGAGCACTTTCCTTTTATTTCTCCTGTTGTGGTGCTTAAACTTGCCTAAACATGGTTTTCTATACATTATTATTTCTTACTACTTGTGAACCTCAGATTTATATACCATTATAATCAAGACACATGGATTGTTTAATAAAAAAACTGTTTAACCTTATAAAACATAGTTAATACTTAACAAAACATATTGAGTGTATATTTTCTACAGACATGTTCCTGCAAGTTTATTTTGGGACTCTAACATCTTCCCTGTAGCAGTCAGAAAATAAAGCTTTAAACCTACCATTGATTTAGCTTCTAACTGCTGGAGCTGATACATTCATTGCACTGCCACTGCCCTTGCTGATCAGTACATTAACAAAACCTGAAGACAAAGAGTTTTTGAAAATTATGCACAGCAGGATTCTGTGCAGCCCTGAAGGCAGTGATTTGCTCTGATTGTGCTGAAAGAATATACTTGAGTCAGAATCAGGTAGGGACCCATCCAGTCCACTGTGCAAACACAGAGAGACACACACTGTTGATTCATCCATTGGCCACCACTGCAACTAATTAAAAGGAATGTCACGTAAAGCTGTTCCTTCAAACTATTAATTACAAAAGGGGTGTATTTTTGTAGGACAGCCTGCAAGTTAGCATCACCTTGGTTCCCTCGACAAAAAGCCAATGGGATTTTTCCATAGATTTTTGGATTATTGCAGAAAATAAGCTGTGGTAAACAATCATTTGACACATGTTTTGTTCAGCACGATAATCTTCCCAAGTCAACACTGCTTTTATGATTTTTGAAACCCAAATACAATCACTTGAAGTAAAAAGCTATTTCTAGGCTATAAACTAACTATACCACAGTCCCATGACTTCAGTGTCACCACCACAGCTTTCAATTTATAACATGATTTAGTGTGCTTTCCTCTTCTACAAAAACCTTTCCTCATAGTGTGAACTGATCTGGCTTGTGATCATGCCTGGGTCAGTTACCTAGAATACTGTACGAGTATGCGGTTTTGAACATAACTAGCTTGTAAAGGCGGACTAGTGAGTAGATCAGTGTCCTTGATTGGCGTGATGATGGTTAATATCCCAGAGAACCTCTGTAATCTCATTTATCCACTTGTTAGCAACCACCTTTTCTAAGACACGTAAGAGCATTAAAAATCATGAGTGGGGTTTTTACTGGTATTGTTTTTTACTGTGTTAACCACAGACCTTATTTCAGGCATCTAACCAAAAACCCATTCAAAAAATCCATTGACTTAGGGGCGAGGGAACCAGAAGTACATAAATGCTAACTCAGTTCTGGGTTTTAAAACTCACACTATGGCACTCTAGAAACAACTCTCTGAAACTGATAATTTTGATTGTATTAGTATTTAATTTATTTTGAACAGCGGTTGACTGCATAAATATATCTAGTTCTGGTTTATGGTGTAAATTTGTTTTATATGTTGTTAAATCCAGAAAGTATTTTGAAAGTTGATGTATATATGCTGTGTAGAACTATAGAGATTTCTATTGGAATGTAACAGCCAGCACCGTGGCTTTGACCAAAATACTCATTATTTAATTTCTTTGCTCAGTGGCACACTAGACAGTGTTTTACACTTTTCTGACTTGGCAGGAGGGAGAGAAAAGAGAAGTCTAATTCTATGAGAGACCATAAATCAGCCGTTAATTACCAAATAGGCTCTTAAAAAGAGCAGGAAAGTGACCCTTTCATTCCTCAGGCACACTGGATTCTGGCTCACAACTAGACACTGTTATTACTCTACTGGTCATAATGAATTATTCAGATTAGTATCCAACTATTTAGTACTGATAGAGACAAGTTTTACTCATGCTGTTATAATGTTCTTGTACATTAATTACTGATAAGTACTATAATGATCAAATCCATAAATCTATCTTTATCTTGGAATGAAAGTTTGGTTTGGTTGAAACCTTGCTTATGAGTTGGAGACTGACCAACCTCTATGTTCTAATTCAATTTTTGTATCAGTGACTGGTATATTTTGACTTCTTTGGCACTGCAGTAATAGATTTAATGGCACAGATTGAGTGCAGGCTTGCTGCA